ACAGAAGCCACCCCCGTAGCCCCCCCGCTACCAAAACCTTGCCATGCAAACCCAACACAACCAGTGATGGTAGTCTTGGGCTTTCTAGACACTTTAAATAGCGGGTAATTTTTTGAACCTCGGTAGTTGAACAGCTAATGCATTTAAACTGACTCCCACTGTGTTTAGGAAATCCAGCGAGTGGGAACGTGAACAGCAGCCGTTTGCCAAAGCGTTGGTGGAAACAGCTGACCGCTGGGTGCCACTCTTGGGCAGCCTAAGGGCGAACACCTCACCCCTGGGTCCTTAGGCAGTAAGGAAGGAGTACAGCATCCCAGTCTGAGTAATGCTGGGGCTGAAGTCACTTGATCGCGTAAGTCAGAACTTCGATGCACTTAGGTAACTTAATGGGATGTTTAATGTTATTTGGAAAAGTCGTCTCAAGTAGTAAAGGTTAGCTGTGTGAATGACAACTTAGCTCTATGCTGTTGTGTACTGAGCAAACTGAATGTGCTGCAATAATTCCAAGTACTTTTTAAAGTACAAATCAGCAACACCAAATTACATCCTCTGTTACCTCTGTAAAATGCTATTAAAGTGCTTTAAGCTTTGCTATCTTTGATATCAGATCTATGTTGAATTGCTCAAGTGTTTCACAATAGAATGCTACAGCTTTACACAAAGTTGGTGAACTCTGGTGAAACTGAGTAGTATTTAAGTTGCAGTGAAAAGCAGCTGAGGGTAAGGAGTTGACATGCCTGCCTTTGGGATGGGTCTGTTTGCAGTATGCACAATCTGAACAGTGAAGGGAAGGGGAACTATCTAATTTGTACCTGCATGAATTTAATGTTCTTACAGGATGCCAAATATGTAGGAAAGTTGGACTGATTCAATTTTTTTTTTTAATTTTGATGTTAAGTTTGGATGCTTTTGGATTTAAGGGTAAAGTTTATATCCAAAATAAACGCACGTCCAACAGATTTTAGGAATTACTTGGTTTAGTTTGAGGTGTCTAGACCTGTCTGTGTAAGTTCTTTCAGGAGAAATATGCCTGATTAGAGTGTTGAGGTCTCACTTGCAATCTCAGAAGAGATCCAACAGCAGGTACCAGGGATGCACGCTTTCCTGCCGCTGTGCGTCAGTGCTATGCTGTTGGAGCACTGAGCAGATGAGATGGCCGTTTTGTATCCTTTTCAGTTTTCCATTTCCCTGCAGAGTACATCTGGCTGAAGGGATGCAAGCTTTTTCACAGGCCCATTGGACTGAAAATACCGGTTTTTTTATGGAAGAAGGTAGCACTACATTCACTCCCTGTGTGGATGGGTTTGGAACCAGTGATATGGGAAGGTTTGTTCCCAATTTATATTTTAACTTTCCGGTTATGCCCTGCCCTGATGTCATCACCGCTCATGCTCAGAGTCAGGAGTTGCAGGAGTGACAGAAGATGTGCGAGTAGAAAAACGTTCACCGGCTGCTTAGCTAGAAGTTATTTGCTTGCTCATTAGTATTAAAACGCATTAAAAAATTTCAGATGTCTTACAGAAAAAAGGCACAAAGAGGGTTTTTTTTAACCAAGTTACTTAGCTGTGTTTGTGAAGATCATCACCACCTAGGGCTAGCAGGTCAGAACACCCTGACTGTCTACAGGTCCCCTTAGTTCTGTGCCTCTACTTCCCATGTATAAATCAGGTCAGTAGTCATCTCGCGCCGTGTCTACAATGTAAATTAATAGTTTATGAAGCACTTTGAGCACTATCTGGTTACAGAACTGTCTTGGCAGGCGGGCTGTAGAGGTATGGCTAGGCAAAACAAACACAACAATGATGCTTACAGCTGCTGGCAGCAGAGGTCTGGGTTTGGCAGATCTACTTGGCCAGGGATTAGATATCTTTAATACAATTTTACGTAAGAGAAAGGAGGGAGAGGGGAAAATGTTTATCTTGCAATACTTTCTCTTAATATTAAACAAGTACAAGTTGCATGTGTATTTCAAAAGAGAGCTGTACTGCAGGATTTGACTAATCCTGGAGCGAGCGCTTCTAACCACCTTGTTCCAAGAACTAGCAAGTGTCAGGGTGTGTAACGAGGGCAGTGCACAGGAGCCGCAACAGCTAGCTCGACTGCATCTGCAGCAATATAAGGGCCGCCTTAAGATGGCAATAGTTAGTTGCTATCACAGGCTTCAACACAATTACACGCCGTGTGGGTAAAAATAGTCATGCATACTTTACCAGTTTCCCACTATAATGTGCTTTGCAGTAGTGTTTATTGAGGAGACGGGAGGCTTTATTTTGATCTCAGCCAAATGGCAGCATATTGTTGCTTATATAAGGGACTGTATAAGGTCAGGATCAGCCTTAAAAACTAGTTTTGTAATGTAGACTTTGCTTTATTTTTGGATGGGTTTTCAGCAATATAGTTTATGCGTCAAATCCATTTTGTGTACAGAGGAGGGGGCTTGTTACTATGGGTAGTGAAAGTGCTTGACAGGACATACATATATTTCATATCTGCTTCTAAAATTTTAGTTCACTATATTAGTCAAGGGTAAGTTTAAGTTTCCTTTAATTAAAACCAAGACTTTCTTAAGGCTGAATCATAAAATGTTGTTTTATAAACCAAATATTGAGCTTTCTCACTCTAGGATGATATTTTTTCCTTTTACAGTGAGATATGCCTGTAACACTACATATGCCTTGGTGTGATGGGAGTCAGGATCAGGCTGCTTCTATTTTATTGCCATTTCCTAGAGAAAACCATTTAAATGGAAATTATAAAACACTATTTGAAGTAAAGCAGTTTGAAGTGGTCCTACTACAACTTACTCCCTTACGTTATTTATTTACTTAGGGGATGAAGTTGTAATTTCCCAGACTTGAAAAGCTTTTTTTTTATACCCCAGAATCAACTATCCTGGAAAGCAAGAGAAAACTGCCTTGGTGAGCGATCTCAATTTAGCGATTCAGGATTTTACAAACCTAAGCCTAGGGAGAAGTGGCAGGAGCAAATGGAGAATGATTAAAGCAGCATTCATGTGAGTCTCAGCAAAATAAAGCGGTCCTGTTTCTCCCCAGTCTAGTAGAAGATAGTTTTAGGAGCATAAAGTAATTGCTGCCTTTGTTCAGGGTTCCTGATCTGGAGTCAGGAACCAACTTTTGAGTAGAAGGGGTTTGGAAAGGACAGCTTTCAAATTCTTCTTTCTCTTTCAGCCATTGCTTTTGTTCAGTGTGAATATGCCTTGCTTTTAGGCCATTCGGGGCAGTTGTAAACCAGACAATATGGCACACAGGCCTGAAGTTAACTAAGATTTGTCTCCAGATCTGCCTTCTCAAGCCCAATTCCTTTTGAGAAGGGGTTTTGACTGTGTGAGTGCGTCAGAGTGAGACCAGCCTTATATTCTTTCAGCTCTCATATGTAGTTAGTTTAATTGTGTGGACCATTTTACGTGCACTTCCTTTTCTAAGCAATTTCAATAAAGGATTCATAATTACAAAAACATGGTTTAGCAGAAAAACAAACAAAAAATCCTCAGTATCTTTCCTGTTAGGCTG